AGCTTAAGCAGCATGGATAGCAGCATTCCAACTCAGTGAGCAAAAGCACTCCTTCCTTGGCCCCACATGGCTGGCACACTGCTAGAGGAAAACCTCCCTGAAGCAACGGGCACAGGGCTGGCCCAAGGACTGCTTCTGCTGTGGCAATGGAGGGGACAGCCACCAAAAACCTCAGCAACAGGAAGCCCTGAAGGCACCTACAGCAAGGTAAAAATCACCCTGGAGTTCTGTCAGGCACCTGCAGCTCAGTTTAACTGTACTGTGAAACACAATGTCTGAGAACTGGAAACAAACCCGAAGTGTTCCTTTCAGTTGCTTTAGAAATCAGAGTGAAACATGTTGCTGACTGCCCAACTCCATAGCCCACCTGCCAAAGCATACACCAGACTGCTTACTTCTAAATCTTTATTTGTTTTCTACATAGAGAAAACAGAGGAATGTTGAAGCAGCAATATTTAAGCACACTAGCAAGGAGCCATCAATCTGTGAGAGTGCACAAAATGCAACACAGGGCCATTTGTGCAGTGGTCTCTGCTAAGGGGTAGGATGAGGACAGGTCCAGGAGCAGCCTCTTCAGACAGACGGAGAGCTCTACGCAAAGGTGGAACCATTCCAGCCCACATTGGCAGCGTTCATGTCAAAGTAGTTGATGTACACCCTGCAGAAGAAGCACAAGAACATACAAACAATAACCTTATTACTCATTTTTATAAGTAATGAGTGAGACAGGACAGTGATTCTCATTCCCCAGAAGAAATTTCAAGCTTAATTTTTACTGAAATCTAGCTAACTTCTCTGGCAGAGCTTCCAACAATCAATATTCCTTGCAGTACCTGGAATTGAACTTCTTTCCTTTTTCAAAATACAAACTCTTCTTCAGTCAGGGTCTGTTCAGACACCAGACAGCTTTTGGTTAGCAGTCTGTCAAGAATTTCCGGAGATCAGAACCTTTTGTTTCCAAGCAAGTTTAGTTTGCAGTCCTTCACACATGTCTAACAGATAGGCAGCCTTACGAAAGCCAAGCAGGCCCTCAGGGCTGGCTCTGCACTTCTCCCTTCCAACCCCGGCACATCAGTGGCAGCAGGTTCTTCCCATCCTTCACTGCTGCACACAGACCCTCTCCCAAGGCTCCTCAGTCTGCGAGGGAGCTGTTCACGCTGGCTGGTTTCTACTTTGTCTTTCAGCTTCAGCCTGTTTCTACTCTTCCCTTGTGCTTTCAGCCTCCCATCACCAGATGACATCACACCTCAGTGGCAAAACCCACACTGTACAACTTGTTAGCCCTCTGGGACTTGTACTTTTGCTCTGAGGACAGGAAGCCATTTAACAGAGGACTCTCAAAGGAAAGATGTAGGCATCAAACTCTTAACTGGACATGAAAACACTGCAAATGATCACTTTATATCTTCCTCAAACACACTGACTTACTCCTGGCTTTTATATTTTTAAATAAACTTTTCAAAGCAGTTTCAGAGAGCCAGATAAACAAGGTTAATATCATCTCCCAGCCTCACCTGTCTGCAGATACATGCAAGTGCTTAGAGATCAGATCACACAGGAGCTTGGTGTAAGTCTTGTTCTGCTGCCCTCCTATTTTGCCGATGCTGTAAAGGCTGCAGAGCGCACAGGGATCAGTGGAGCCCCCGAAGGACATCATCTGATCAGGTATGATGTGCACAGCGATGTACTGCAATAAGAGTGACAGTTACAGGATATCTCACCTTCCCTCTCCTGACACAAACTCGCTTTAGGCACCAACTTTACTGTGGCCTGGGCAGCTCAGCAGCGCTGCCCTCTGCCCCGTTCTGAGGCTCAGGCACCGCACCCCGCACGGGTG